AACTAATTGGCATAACTTCATATAAAATAGCAGTTGATTGGAGGGTGATTTACCTAGGCTTCTCTAAGGTAGGGTTCATGAATTTCTTGAACTACTTGTATTAATTTATTGCTTTCAGAAGGGGCAAACTCCCTCTTTTTTATACCCACTCTGGCTTTATCTTGCAAGTGAGTTTCCTCTTATTCTGATGGAGCTCAGGGAGAATAGATTACAGAGAAGCAAGGATGGAGAAGGAGACTAACTTAAATGCCAATAGAAAAATCCTTGCAGGCGATGATAGGGGCTTTGCACAGAATAGAAGGAGAGATTTATTCAGGATTTTAATTCTCAAGGGTAGAGCTCATGATCTGGGGTTTTAAAGAGAAGGACACAATGAGTAGCTTATCCCTCACTTCATCTCATATACCTCATAGATGGAGTCCAGAGAAACCATAGCTTGTGAAAATTCTCACCAAGAGCCAGTGAAAAACCAAGCAACACACTCTGAGAGGTTGGAGAACTCAGGTTTAATTATGCTGGTGAACTCAGCTGAACTTTTTAGACAAATTATTTGATTGACTTTGGATTTTGGGGATCACTGAGATCTATTTATGAGTCTCAGGAGCAAGGCTGGCAGTGCCAGAGGTGGTTAGTGAGCATGACTGTCAGGGCTTCCGGAAGTATAGGGGGTGGGGGATGGGCAGTACATCCCAACTCCAAGAAAGCCTAGAGATTTCAGTCACAAAAAAACTCATACCTGAATTTTCAGCAGGTTAATTTCTTTTTTTTTCCCTTTATTTTATTTATTTTTTTTAAAGTTGTAGATTTACAATTTTTTGTGCTTTGGTTTCAATTATACAATGATCAGATACCCATCCCTCCACCAGTGCCCATTTTCCACCACCATGGATAATATCCCTCCCACCCCCATCCCCCCATCCCCCCTGTCTCTGTGGCAGGGCAATCCCCTGTGTTCTCTCTCTCCTTTTGGTTGTTGTGGTCTGCAAAAGAGGCATTGAGTGGCAAACATGTTCAGTCCATAGTCTACTTTCGACATGCATCTCCCCTCCTGGGAGGATCCTCCAAACATCTTTTATTTGGTGCTCACTTCTCTATCTGAACTGCCCTTTCCTCTAGGATACCTGGCTGGCCTCTAAGTTATGGAGTAATCCTCCTGGTGCTGATCTCAGCTATTCTTGGGTATTAATCTCATACTTTGTTGCTTTATATCCCCCAGATGAATGCAATCTTTCTATGTCTATCCCTCTCTTTCTGACTCATTTCGCTTAGCATGATACTTTCCATATTGTACCACTTGTATGTAAATTTCATGACTTCATCTTTTCTAACAGCTACATAGTACTCCATTGTGTAGATGTACCAAAGTTTCTTTAACCAGTCATCTGTTCTTGAGCATTCAGGTTTCTTCCAGTTTCTGGCTATTGTAAAGAGCAGCAGGTTAATTTCTTGTTGAGGTTCATCCTTGAGACAAGTGAAGTCTAGCCAGGGGGCATAGTAGTGACTTTGAAGTATGGGAGCAGGCTGCTGCCATGGTTCTGTTTGGGCGGGCACTAGGCTGACTCAACCCCTCTGGAAAGACTACTGTTTTCTAGAATATCTGTTTTCTAGAATATCTGTTTTCTAGAATATCTGATGAGAGATGGAACATTTCCAGCCAGCTGATGAGCGAGCACAGCAGCAGAGATTCTTAAGCATCTCCTCCATGAAGCAAGGGAGAGACCACTTCAATGACATGAGCACACTTGCAGCACATTCTCAGGTGACCAAGGAAATAAAGTGAGACAATGACTGTCTCAATGCATTCCATGGTAATGTCATGTTGTTCAGACTCAATTGCCTCTTGGCAGTTTCTACTCTCTGTGATAGCCTTTTTGAAACGTGGGCAGGCTTCTATTTTCCTCATCAGATGATAGAGCACAGAGAAGATCAATTCATATCTTGAAATGACCAGGAAGAGTTTAAAGGTGGTCACAGAAGAATCCGGTTTTGGAAATTGAGTTGGTTCTCCAACCTAAATTTGAAACCAAGGTTATTATCATCACCATAACTGCCTCCTTTTCCTCCTCTCCCCCTCCTTCCTCTTCTCCTCCTCGCCCTCCCTTCCTCCTCCTCCCCTTCTTCTTCTCCCTTGCCCTCCTCCTCCTCCTCCTCTTTCTCTTTCTCCTTCTCCTCCTTTTCCTCCTCCTTCTCCTTTTCCTTCTCCTTCTTCTACCTCCTCCTCCTCCTTCAAACCCTCCTCCTCTTCCTTCTCCTCATTTTTTGGGCCACACCTGGTGTTGCTCAGGTCTTATTCCTGAGGCTTGGGGGACCATATGGAATGGAAGGAATTGAACATGGGTTGGCTGCAAGCAAAGCAAAAGTCCTACCCACTCTATCTCTCTGGCCTGCATTACTTTATGTTCAAATTCACTTCCTTTCTATAATCTTTGGGTTTCAATTACACCTCAATTCCAATTGGTCACTTGATCATTTGACATCCCATTACTCATCAATTTGCTTGAGCGGGCACCAGTAACATCTCCATTTGTCCCTGTCGCGTGCTAGTGTAGTCCACTGGTGTCTGCTTGCTCCAGGAACAAAAAGAGCCTCAAACCAATCATTCAGGGACTTGACAAAGAAGTCTGACAATCTCGTAGGTGAGCGGCCACACAATCTTTTGACATCCCCTGGAAACCAGTCAGTAATGCTCTAGTCCACCAGTCATCTCCAAATCGCATTACATGTCCAGCCCATCTGATTTTCGATGTCTTGGCAAATGAGACAGCGTCCCTGATTCTCCATCGTCGATGGAGGTCGGAACTCCAGATTCTTTCTCTCACTTGAGTGAAGCGTGATACTCCAAGCATAGCTTTTTCAATTCCTCTTTGGGAGACCCAAATAGCATTTTCATCCTGTTTTTGTAGGGCCCAGGTCTCTGCGGCGTATGTTAATGCAGGAAGAATAGTGGAGTCGAAGAGATGTGCCCGGAGCTGGAGGTTCTTTGTCCTCTTAGCTATTTCATTGACGTTCTTGAAGGTGTTTCAAGCCACTCTCTTCCTCCTGCACAACTCAGGTGCCAGGTTATTTGTCATGTTGAATTCTTGATGTAGGTACACATAACTGTTGCATTTGGAGATGTTCGTTCCTTGAGAGCGAATGGAACATCAGGAACAAGTTCGTTTCTCATTAACATTGTCTTTGTGAGATTCAGCTGTAGTTTGACCTTTCCACACTCACGGTTGAAGTTGGCCAGCGTTTGTGCGGCTTGGCTAATATTTGGTGTTATTAAAACAATGTCATCAGTGAAGTGGAGGTGGTATAGTTCCCAACTGTCTATCTTCACTCTCATTCCTTCTCATTCTAGTTGTTGGATGACTTTCTCAAGGGTGGCACCGAAGAGTTTTGGTGAAATGGTATCACCCTGCTGAACCCCTCTCTTGACATGGATGATCATTTCCGTGCAGAATGGTGAGATTCTGGTAGTGAATCTGTAATACGGCATGGAGGATCCTGATGTTTTGAGTTTGAATACCCTGTTTGGCTAGGGCTTCAATGACCTCTTCAGTCTCAACAGAATCAAAGGCTTCTTAATCAATGAACGTTAGACAGAGCAGCATCTTGAACTCCTGAGAAACCTCAATGAGCTTGATTACCCTGTGGTATTCCAATTGGTATAAGTATCAAACCTCTGGTCCACCCCCACCCTGCTCCATTCTACATTAGTTGGGCATTTGAGTCTTTCTATCCCTCCAATCAGTTCAAGAGAAAATAATGAGTGCTGTTGGCAGAGGGGGGAAAAAATTCAGAAGAGTTGAAAACAGCCATATATTCTATTCTCAAGCTTGGTTTTAAGACAGCTGAAAAATCTAACAGTGAGACAAATACACTTAAAAACACAGTACTTCTCTGTGTCTTCTATTTAATCCTTTGTAGCTCTAGAATCAAGATAACTACCAATGTAAGCCATACAATGGCTTTTAACTGAATAATTGTTCAAAATTTGAATATTGGTAAAAGTAACATTAAGGATAAATTTAAACTTATTTTTATTCATTTGGAGCAAATAGTACTTCTGTTTTTATTCTATCATGGGCTTCATTTGACCTTAAAAAGCAAAACCCAAGCTAAATTTCCTGCAGGCTTGTTATTTGTTATTCCAGAGCTGTAACAGCTGAGTGAAGTAGTTATCTCTCCAGGACCGTTTTCTCATGCAGAATCCTAGGTCCTCCTATTTGCCTCCCGATTTTAGAGGTCTCTACTTTGCAAAAGCGACGTGAAAATCTGATGCAGTATGCTTGATGTTGAGGAATTTCAAGAAGTACAAGCACAGGACACAGGCCGGGCTCCATTTCTCCAAGAGATCAAGAAACTCGCATAACGAAAAGGACCAGTTGAGAATCCACCTTGCACAGGCACCACTCCTAGCTACCTCTCAAGGACACCTACTTTTACCTTGTACCCACATTTTTTAATTTGCAAATATGTTTTTAATTTATCCTTTCTTTTGTTTTTTGGAGCTACACCCAGCTGCGCTCAGGGCTTACTCCTGGCTCTGCACTCAGGCTTCACTCCTTTTTCTTCTCTTTTTAGGTCACACCCAGTGATGCTCAGGGGTTACTTCTGGCTCTGCACTCAGGAATTACTCCTGGCGGTACTCAGGGGACCATAAGGGATGCTGGGGGGATCAAACCCTGGTAAATTGCATGCAAGGCAAACGCCCTACCCACTGTGCTATTGCTCCAGCCCCTCAGAGGGCCTTTCAAGGAAGGAATTTCTTTAACCCGCAGGCTATCACCTGTCATTTGTCCCACCTGCACCCCGCAGGGAATCTCCCACAATCCACCCAAACGCATCTCCTTCCTGCTTCTAGGGCAAACGGCCTTCCAGCCCCTGACCAATAGGTTCCTTCCTCCGCCGTGGGCGGGGCGGGAGGGCGGGACTAAACGCCCGGGCTTTGGAGCTCCGCCCCCTACGTGGCGTGCGTCCGCGCGTGCGTGCGTGCGTGCGTGGCGGGCCCGGTTTCTGCAGCGTGTGGCGCCCCCCGGCGGCGGCGGCGGGGCATCGCTGCGACCGCCGGCCTGAACGCCCGCCATGGAGCCGCTGGAGGAGGCGCGAGCCCCCCGGGAGCCGCTCCCGGGCCCGCCGGCGGCCTGCAGGTCGCAGACGTGGAGCGAGGAGGAGGCGGCGTCGGCTCAGAGGGGCGCCGCCCCGGACGCGGAGGTGGACGGCGCCAGCGCCGACGGCCTGTGGGAGCTCCCGGTGGAGCCGGCGGAGCGGAGGCCCGAGTGTGGCCGCTGCAGGTGAGCGCGGCGCCGGAGGCGCGGCTGCAGCGTCCCCTGCTGGGGGCGCGGCGCTGCGGCGGGCAGCTCGGCGAGCCGGTCCCGGGGAGCCCGGGCTGGGCGGACCTTGCTCGTGAGTCACGGCTCGGGAACCCTGGTCCGGGTCCGTCGTTGTTTCCCTTTCTTTCTTGCAGGACGGAGCGCGCCGTGCGCAGACCCCAGCGCTGCTCGCGGGACCTGCTGGGCTTGAGTTGTCTCCAAGTTGCACTTAGTACTTGGAATTATATTTTGATTCCAGTATTTCTGCACTTGGCTGTATTGCTAGGGTATGTTTCCTGCCGTTAAAAGCTCTTCACCTCTTTAGTATGTTTTTCTTTTTAAAAGTTGGTGAGAATACAACTCTGGAGATGTGGAGAATTAGAGGGATGTTATCTATAAAGTATAAACTAGTTGGTTGGCTCCTTCTATTTGATTTGATGGTTAGGATTCTCCTGCTTTTCTTGGTGAACTTTTTTGTTTCTACTCATCATAGTTCTTGAAACTAAAGTGCAATCTTAGATTTGAGTGATCCATTAATTGGTAATTTGCACTGTAGCACTGTAGCACTGTCCTCCCATCGCCCATCGATTTGCTCCAGCGGGCCCTGTAACATCTCCATTGTGAGACTTGTTGTTACTGTGTTTGCATATGGAGTACCATGGGGAGCTTGTCAGGCTTTGCTGTAATTTGCACTCAACAGTTTAATTTCTCTAAGCACAGTACTATACCTGTTCCAGCCGAGGGAGTTCAGTAATTGGTTCTGTTCAGGAACTTGTTGGGAGCATAGCACAGTGGTAGGGCGTTTGCCTTGCACGCAGCCAATCATGGCCGACCCGAGTTCGATTCCTCCGCCCCTCTCGGAGAGCCTAGCAAGCTACCGAGAGTATCTCGCCCGCAGGGCAGAGCCTGGCAAGCCACCCGTGATGTATTCGATATGCCAAACACAGTAACAACAAAATCTCCAATGGAGATGTTACTGAGCCCGCTCGAGCAAATCGATGAACAACGGGAGGGCCTTTATCCTTATCCTTTATCCTGATCTGTTACAAGTTCTGACTTACTCATTAGAGGTATAGTGTATCTTAAATGTGTTTCGTTTACAAATCCATAGCATGATTTGCTTCTAGGTCAGTTACTCTCTTAGTCCCAAACACATCAAATCCAAAACTTTGATCTCCAAAATATATGTGGTTCTGATGGCACAGTGGGTAGAGCGTTTGCCTTGCACTCGGCCGATCCGGTCGGCCCAGGTTCGATTCCTCTGCCCCTTTCGGAGAGCCCGGCATGCTAACGAGAGTATCTCGCCCCCCCACGGCAAAGCCTGGCAAGTCAAATACCAGTGACGTATTTGATATGCCAAACACAGTAACAACAAGTTTCACAATGGAGACGTTACGCTCCAGCAAATCAGTGAGCATCAGGAGGACAGTGACAGTGACTATTTGATATGAAATTAAGGCTAAGGGTTATTGGTCATTGTCTGTACACAGAATGGTGAATTAATTGGCAAAGAAATTTGACACTATGAAATCAGACACTATGATGGGGCATGAATATGCGATAAAAGAGTTAGGCAGTAATTTTGCAGTAACTCATGTCTAGAAGAAAATGGCATATCCTTAGGTCGAAAATGTGAGGCTTTTGGGCATATTTCCCTTTCAAATTACAGGTAATGAGCCATAGAGAGGCTTTTATTTTACACACATCTCGATGTTTAATTGTCTGGGGGTCATTGCCAGGTGTTTGGGGCACGTGGCCAAACCTAGTGCTCCAGGGGCCCTGTAGTGCTGAGCAGCTCAGGGCTTCAAGCTCACAAGGCCTGCAGTGTCCTGCTTGAGGCACATCCCTGGCCCTTTCACGTTTTTCAAAGTAAAAATGTGTTAAGCGACTTTGTTCCCTTAAGAATCATTTTGCTGGTCCTGAGCAATAGTACAGCAGGTGGGGTGTTTGCCTTGAATGTGCCCACCTAGGTTGGATTCCTAGCATCCCATATAGTCCCCTGAACACAGAACCAGTAGTAACCCCTGAGCATTAGCAGGTGTGACCCCAAAACAAAACAAATGAAATCTCTTCGCTCTTTGTCAAGGCATGTGGGCCTCATTCTCCATCCTGGAGACTGGCCCACATTTAATCTGAGATGTATCCTCTTGGCTCTTTTCCCTCTGGTGAAGCCCATATTCTTTTTTTCCCCCTCTCTCTTCCCTTTTCTCTAAGTTTGATTAAATAAAACTATTTTACTTCACTAACAAAAAGAAATACCTTGCTAATTAAAATCTTGTTTGAATTACAGGGAAGCCAAACATTTTATGCATAGAGATGTGAATATGTATCTATAGCGATCTTTTTATTTGATAGTCTCTGAAACAAAGACATGGGACGGAGTCAGAAGCTAAAGAGGACACATGTCCACTAAGTTGTTAATGTTCCAAGAATTTACTTGTCTTTCAGTGGGTTAGGAGGTCAGGTGTAAGCATATTTTCTTATGTACCCTTGGTACAGTCTGCACTATTAGCTTCTTGCTCTGGTGGGTGTATAGAGAGTGGTCACTGTCACTGTCACTGTCCTCCCATTGTTCATCGATTTGCTCGAGCGGGCCTAGTAACATCTCCATTGGAGACTTTGTTGTTACTGTGTTTGGCATATCGAATACATCACGGGGAGCTTGCCAGGCTCTGCCATGTGGGCAAGATACTCTCGGTAGCTTGCCGGGCTCTCCGAGAAGGCAGAGGAATCGAACTCGAGTCGACCATGTTGGCTGCGTGCAAGGCAAATGCCCTACCGCTGTGCTATCGCTCCGGCCCATAGAGAGTCCTAGAGTCGTATAGAACACAAATGGTGCAGCTGAACCTTCTATATAGGGGACCTTGAAGAGAGGGTACAGGAAGCTTGGAAGAAACATTGACTCTGAGGCAGAAAGGTAAAATGGTTGTCCTTATGTACTGGCATTTGGATTGACTAGAGAAGAATCTGGGTGAGGGTACGTAGTATAAGGGAAAAGCATATATATTTTTTTTTGGTAAGAAGCAGCTTGTGTAGGAGAATAGTGGACAGCGGCATTTCTCAACCATGGGTTTTATGGTTCCTGCTGTGGGTTCCCTGAGCTGGAGCGATAGCACAGCGGGTAGGGTGTTTGCCTTGCATGCGGCCAACCCGGATTCGATTCTTCTGCCCCTCTCGGAGAGCCTGGCAAGCTACCGAGAGTATCCCGCCTGCACGGCAGAGCCTGGCAAGCTCCTGTGGTATATTCGATATGCCAAAAACAGTAACAACAAGTCTCACTATGGAGACGTTGCTGGTGCCCACTCGAGCAAATTGATGAACATCAGGAGGACAGTGCTACTGTGGGTCCCCAGGATATTCCAAGGCTACTGGCAAAAATTGTGTAAGGGGAGAGGGGCACATATGAGATAATGGGGCCAATTGGTAGTGTGGGATGGCCACAGGAAAAACAAGGTCAGCAGAGGACTGTGGTTGGATGAAGGTTGAGAAACGCTGACATAGAGAGTGCAGTGGGTTTGGAAAATGTGGAGAAAAGAAGGAGTGATGTATAGGTGGGCCACAGAGATTGTAGTGGTTGTACTGGGGAGGACTAGAATAAACTGTTAGGGAGTTTGAGCCTCCTGGGCTAGAACTCAAAGGACCAGCCACACTAGTTGACTTTTTTGTTTTGCCCTTGGGCCTCACCTGGGACTGCTCAGTGCTACTCCTGACTCAGTGCTTGGGGGTTGATGTGGTGCCAGGGACTGTACCCGGAGCTCCTGCATGCCAACTATATGCCTCAACCCATTGAACCATCTCCCCAGCCCTGAAGTGTGAATTTTCAGATTTCAATGGTGGTAACAAGTTTTTGCTTCTAGGTTGCTGCTTTATTTTATTGAAAGAACAAACAAATGACACCTAACCAAAAGTCTACCACTACAGATTTGGTAAGGTCCAATGGTAAAAGACTTGCCTGGGAAGAGTTAGCGTCTCATGCCAGTGAAGATGTTAGGTACCTTAATTATACTTTTATGTCTTCTATAGATAACGCTCTGAGCCTGAATAAAGGCATCAGAAACCCACTTGCTAATCATTGGACATAAGAAAGGTGGAAGCACATCTGAATACAGAGCATTTGGTGTGGGGGAGGGCTTGAGAGGGGTTTGTACCACACTTGGCAGTGCTCAGGGCTTACTTTTGGCCCTGTGCTCGAGGAGTAAACCCAGGTTGGCCTGGTGCAAGGCCATCACCCTACCCACTGTGCTATTGCTCATCTTAGTGTGGGGTGTTGAAAATACACTGATTGAGAGAAACAGTGGGCAGAGCATGCACTCACTGCTGCTGGGAGACCTTGAGAAACTTGAGAAACAGAGTCTACAATTGTAATGATGATGATAAACCACACATGTCTATTTAGCGTCAAGCACCTGCCAGTTGCCTATCAGACCTAGGTTTTTCTTGGGGGTGGTGGTGTGGTGGATGGGTTTGAACTCAGGGTCTCATGCAAGCTAGTGTTGACCAACATTCCTGGCTTCTAGCTATTTGGTGTAGCCATGGCCTATTTATTGCCCCCAGTCTTCTGGAGTGGATGAAAATGATGACTCTAACTTGTTTTTTTGGAGGAAGGTCATACCTGACTGTGTTCAGGATTCACTCCTTGTGGGGCTTGGGGGAGCATGTGGTGCCAAGGATCAAATTCCAGGTTGGCTGCATGCAAGGCAAGGGCCTTGTATTAAGTTTTATTTTTGAAATAAAATTTAAAATCTGAGTTTGGTGCTCAGGGCTTACCCCTGACTCTGCTGTTAGGGATCACCCCGGTGGACTTAGGAAACTGTGTTTACAGGGGATTGAACCTGAATCAGCTGCATGCAAAGCTCATAACCTACTCACTGTGCTTTCTCTCTTGGGCCCTGAAAAGCATAAGACTCAGAGCTGCCCAGATAGCCCTTAGCATATCATTGGAAAATGGGGCAACACCACACTGGCCCCAAACATTAAGGTGT